CTTCCACCAGTCGGTGACCTGAAATTCAGTCTGATGTTTACCATGCTGCAAAATCTCTCAATTCCCAAAATGCATCTAGAGAACAGAGGAATTGCTGGAGGATACACAGGTGTATCCTTCGGGGAAGTGTTTTCATTTTAAGTGTATAAAAGAGGTGTGACACACAGCTGGAATATACAGACCAAGATCATTTAAATGCTTGTTGCACGCATCTCTGATGGGACTAAGACGTGAGCAGAGGCATTAATGATGTGCAATTTGGGAAATGAGAAAGGGGAATTATTTGCCCCACGCTCATTAGTTCACGTGTTTGACTGTTTCCACTTGTGCCTAGGGTTGATGCGTGTGCATAGATTATCCTGTATTTCTCCTTTTCTTGGGTGTTTCCCAGTTTGCCTCATTATGCTCTGTGTTTTTTCTGTTTCATTCACTTTAAGACGTGATGTTCTTGTTTTTTGTTTTCTGTTCTTTTTTTTAATCACTCCTTAAAGGCCTGTTTTTAATTCATTCTGTGTGACTCCTGCTCCTCATGACAAAGCAGAATTTTTCCTATAGTGAGAATGCGTCTGAAAATGACCATTTCCATTGGTGAAAAGAACAACTTTGTACAATGTCTTAACCTGATTTCCCAACATTTTCTGGATTTCATGTGTGAAAAAACAGCTCCTGTAGGTGAATCGTACCTGGGATTCCCCTGAGCCTTCATCATCAAAGAAGTACCGCACAACTGTCCCATCAGCATGGCCCGATATGATCCCTTTACCAGAGACACTGACACAGAGCAGAGATCTTAAAAATGACACGCAGTGCCCGCAGAACAAATGCAGCGAAGCAGACAATTATTTCACAAGCTATACACATGGGAAATAGCTCATAACTTTAATAAGGTCAGCCCACACTTCACGCTGGGACCCTTGTACAACTTTTTGGTAAAAAGAAAAAAAATCTTTTTGGTTTTGATTTTATGGTATTTATACAAAGAAATCCTGATCATAAAAGCAGTTTCTGCACAGTAGTTTCTATTTTCAAGTTTATCAGCTCATCTTCAGACTCAATACATATATATATATGTGTGTGTGTGTGTGTAAAGATATTTTAAGCACTCACTTTGATGCCAGTGAGACAACCCAGGATTCTGTGGCGTAGATGGTTGAAGATTTGTTTGTCTGAGTGTTGGCAAGCCGAATCTGTAAAAAAAACATCAGAGAACTTAAAATATCCTTAAAATGTCCAAGTACACTGCGGTTGGATTTAGAGAGCAATACAAAGACTTAACATCCCAGCTGGAAAAGGCTGTGAAAATATTTCACATTTACTGCATAAAGATAAAGTAATACCGATTTTTCACCAAGAGGTTTTAATGCATCTAAATTATGTTCTATAAATTCACTGATGCATATATTTCTTTTTACTAACATCTTTGTATTTGTATGTGTGGGTACATTTCTAAATGAATTATTTATGATTCTGACAGTTTTTGAACTCTACAGAAAAAAGCTTTGACAAAGAAATCAGACCATGTGGAACTAAAATGTCTACAAAAATCTAAAGGATACAACTGTTATTCTACTACACCCATATATAATGCCTGATACTTTTACTTAATATTAAAATAAACATATGAAATATCCAAGACATACCTTGCCTTCAACTAATCCGTAGACAATAGCATGCTCTGCAGGCCAAAGAAGGCATGTCACAGCACTCTGCAATAAAGATAAGAAAATAACACAACCATGTTGATGACACAAAGTTGAGAGAAAGCTAAAAAATGTCATGTTTGTAAGGAAAACAAAACTTATCACCCAATTAAAAACTAATACCAGAATAGATTCATCAACAGCTAAGCCCTGGAAAGTGTATTCACTTTGAGCTCTACAAAAAAAAGCTTTGACAACCGAATCAGACCACGTGGAACTAAAATGTCACAAAAATTTAAAGAACACAACTATTAGTCTACTACAATTATACACATATGTAGAAAACAGAACATATCTGATCATTTTTCAATTTTATATGTCTAAATGATTTATAATAATATATTTTAATCAGTCCTCATTTGTTATCCATGTCTTTGTTTTATGTAGTAGTAGATCGCAGTAGGTGCTCATATTAAACATGTTCAAAGTTTGAAAAAATAAATAATCCCTGTGAGCCAAAAACTTAGGCTTCAGATTACTATTAACCAGTGTTGGGGAGTAACGGAATACATGTACCGCCGTTACGTATTTAAAATACAAAATATGAGTAACTGTATTCCGTTACAGTTACCGTTTA